CCCTCTTTTTATATACCAGACTACCCTATATCTAGTAAATGCTAGAGCATTCGCCAAGGTACAGGATAGTTCTAGAAACGTAGCGTGACACTAGTCATGTGACTTCGCTGACGCAACATACCTTTCCATTTTTTATTTAGTTTATTTACTACGATTAACTGTAGTTATACAATTTTTATACTTTTTATTATTATTATTATTATATGTTATTTCCCTTAGCTCATTTGTAGCTTCAGGAACATGTTCTCGAGCCACGTGTTACTTGTTCTTTCAACCTAACCCTTATATTAACAGTTTCATTGTCACTGGTAACCTGATGAAGGATTATTGCCCAAAAAGTCATTTTCACCACTACTTTATATTTTGCATTTTGTTATTCCCTCGCCTACGCAATTATTTTATTACTTGAACTAATATTGTTCTTAGTTTATGTACTGAAAGTATAAAATGAAAATTTTTGACAACAAAACTGGAAAAACGTTTGTTGATTTCTTAAGTTAGTCTTCGTTGATTAAAGAGATTTATTTTTAATAAAAACGTTGGTGATATAACAGAAAACAGCTTCATTCAGAAATGGTTTAAAGTTAAAACTGAATCGATATTTTTACAGTCATGATATATTTTATGCACTTGGCTCTAGGCTAGGTGATCCCACACTACGTCTTTACGTTAGGCTCATTATACCAACACTCACTACACTTACAAGGTTTCACGGCCCACGTCACTAAAATCGTAATGGGCAGACGGAAATCGAACTATCCTATCTGAATAAATTCATTTTAGCTTTTATGACTCCTCCTATTTCGAGAAATCAAGACAAATCAAATGTGACGTGACAAGCACTGACTTTTATATAGGTTAGATTTCGTTTTAGCAACAACAAACTAAGTAAATTATTTAAAGAACTTGGTTATTCACACAACGTTTAATAATACTTACAACACAAATTTCTTTGAAAACAAAAAGTTAACTGGATAAAGAAAAACATTAGGAAGAGATAGAATTTTAATGGGTCGTAATGCGAATAAATGTAACTTCATTGTAAGAGCGAAAACGAGAAATGAACTAAAACAAATACCTGTGTAGGAGAGCAATGGCTACTTTTATGTAAAATACCTAAAATGTAGACTCTGGTGGGCATGTTGTTCACTATAATATTGACTACACAACAGGGAATGTATTTCATATTTAATGTTTATTTATCACTTTCTATTGTTTCAATTGTTTGTAAGCATTGTTATACACGTATGTTTGTTACATTGTCACGTCACGCAACCTTAGATTTAGAATGTTTTCGTTTACGGATTTACTGTTCAATTAGTGAAGCTCGACTCGAAATCTGTGGGTCGCTGGTTCGAATCCCCTTCACACCAAACATAGCCCTTTCA